CGTGAGCCCTTTCCTGCCTCCTCCAGGGCAATGCTCTTCCCTTTGCTAGATACAGTTCGTAAGGGTGGGCTGTTCCTGTAGATCCATCAAACCTGTTTTCTTCTACATCAACACCATTAAAGGAAGATTAGAGCCAGGCAACAGGACAACACGACCTCCGCTTCCTCATGCTGCCTCGGGTCTGCTTTATAGCCTCTGGTTTCTCTTGGACGTGCTCCTAAACCCACAGCCCTCTTTATGACTGATCCTCAGATATGCCTTACTGGGAGGGTTAATTTGCTTTGACTTAGAAATCTCACCCTTCTTTTCCTTCGGACTAGTTTCTGCCCAAAGGACCTTCACCTACCCACTACCACCAACTGCCACAGAACCGGAATGTGCGTGGGTCAGGAGAGGGGGAGGGGCACTGTGCTGAAACCAAACCTTCCGTGAGTGCTGTGTTTTTCCCTCAAGATTTGGTACATGCGGCGTCAACATCAAGGGAGCACTATACAGTGATGGATGAGCAATTCACCTTGATTTTTCATCTGTCCTTCCATGGCCTCAGTGTTCTTATACCAGATGGCTTTTTCTAGACCTATGTTTAGACCTGAGATCTACTTATCAGACTCAGAAAACAAAAAGCATCAGTCAGTCAGGGGCACCTCAGGCACCCATAGGGATGCACAGGGTTACTCTTTCCCACTCCAGAAAACATCCACCAAAGACAACAGCTCTTATTTCAGCTCCAGCTCGGAATCCCACTGCTCACTATCTGCTAACTATTTTCTTGGTGTGACCTGTACATTCTTTTGCAGAAAAAAAAAATCCTTTAAATAACTTTCCAAAACTCATAGAACTAGAAAATATCATCCTGACTAAGGTAACCCAAACCCAGAAGGACAAACATGGTATGTACTCACTCATAAGTGGATACTAGATATAAAGTAAAGAACAATCAGACTGCAACCCACAGAACCAGGGAGGCTACAAAGCAGAGCCCTAGGATGACTGTGGCTTATAATAAGTTTTGGTATTATTCATTTCACTATTAGGATAAGAATTTGTACTGTATCAAGCTGATAATAGAAAAATAAATAAATAAATAAATAAAATGAAAAAAAAAAACTTTCCAAAACTCAGGAAACTTACTGAATTAATATACTGTGATAGAATGAACTGGAAAAATATAAAGGACTCTGCAGAAAGTAAGGATATAAATAAAGGGTCTAACAGACGGGCCAGCATTGGTTATGTGCTTGTGATGACCCGGGCTTGTGGTGGACAACATAGCACATGAAAACACATAAATCCCTCTTTACACCCTGTGGACAGGACCAAGTAAGAAAATGTACAAGAGAAAGCAGGGCAAGGCATAGAGCTGGCAGAAGGGCTCAGAGGATACAGGTGCCTGCTGCCAAGTCTGTCTACCTGAGTTTCATTCCTGACCCACACTGTGGGAGGAGAGAATAACGCATACGTTGTCCTCTGACCTTCACCCAAGTGCTGTGACCCTTGACCCCCTCCCCTCGAACTCATACAAAGTAAGTAATTTATTAAACAAGAATTTTGATTTAAGAGGCTGGTAGGCTAGCTCCGTGAGTCAAGGCACTTGCTGGAAAAGTGACCTGAATTCTGTCCATGTAACCCACAAGACTGAAGAAGACACTATAGAGCTGTCCTCTGACCTCTGCTCTGCTCAGCAGCAGACCTCTGTGAGTTTGAGGCCAGCTTATTCTACATAGGGAGTTCCAGGCCAGCCAGGGTTAATATAGAGAGACGCTGACTCAAAGAAACAAACAAACAAAACAAATAGAAACAAGCATTGGCAACGAGATAGCACAGAGCCGGGAGAGAATGACTTTCTTTAGTCAGTCAGCCTTGTGGGAATGGAAGGGTGAAGGACGACAGCGGGTTCTGTGAGGTGTAGAGGCATTAAGACCTGGAGGAGTTCAGAAAGGCCATCTATTGGGCAAGAGGAAGAATCATGAGATCGCATACATGGGCATCGAAGGCCACTTTCCAGAAACCATAATGAGCTCGCTGGTACTTGCCCAAACTATCTCACACTGACTATGGGGAGGGTCTCAAGTTCCATCACATTTCTGCATTGCCCCTCTCTAACTCCAGCCCTGGTTTGATACCCACTTAGTTTTATTAACCACCTTCCCTCTGGACCACAGGCTTTCCATCCTCAACGTAAAGAATTCTGAAAGCATAGACATCCCCCCCGACTTAATTTTTTTTTTTCTTGAGATAGTCATGTTACATAGCCCAAGCTGGCCTCCAACTCTTGATTCTCCAGAGGGCTGGGATACCAGGTATTTGCAACCACTCCTGGTTGTAAATCAGTATTTTATTTTTCAACTAAATACCAGGAGGCATGAGGGTCCAAGGTGTGGCTCAACTGGTACACTGCTTGCTTTGTTCTACAAAGCCCTGCATAAAACCCACAGTACCAAATAAACTGGGTGTGATATTGCATACCTACAATCCCAGCACCCAAGAGGTAGAGGCAGAAGGATCAGGAGTTCAAAGTGATCTTCTGCTATTATAGCAAGTTAGAAGTCAGTCTGAGTTACACACAACTCTATAAAAAACAAACAAACAAACAAACAAAAAAACAAACCACAACAGTTTTACAAGATACAAGAAGTCAACATTAGAAGGTATATTGCAAGGGCTGGAGAGATGGTTCAGAAGTTGAGAGGATAGGGCTGTTTTTCCAGAGAAGCAGGGCTCCATCCCCAGCACCCATGTGCCTGGAACACCAGTTCCAGGGTAATTGACTGACACCCTCTTCTGGCCTTCATGGGCACCTCACGCACACCATATACCAAAATACAAACAGCCAAAACACTCGTACATAAAGTAAATAAATCTTAAAAGGGGGGGGGGATTTATTTCCAAGGCAATCTACATGCCATCTTTGAGGGGGAAGGAGCTCGTAGAGGAAGCTTGCAAAGCCTTTGGGACTCTCCCCATGGTCTTCACAATGATCTCTCTGTCATTCCTATTTTTAAAAAAGTTACCCCACATAACAAAGGCGAGTACTTCAAGTTGAAGCTAACTAGGGGTTTCACCATGAGGTTTCATATTCCGAAGATAATGATAAACTAATGAAGAGTCACCTCTGAGCTTCCTTGTGCCCACAAATGAAACAAAACCAAAACCTTATCTTTTGACTGCAGGAAAGACCAGCCTGCAAATGGTGACAAGTCCTTGGGGTTCACCTTCCTTTTCAACAGCACACTATCTAAATCATGGTCTAGTATCCGCTTCTACAATATGATCCCAGATTTCAAACAAAAACATATTTTGCAATCTCTTGGCTCACCTCACGCATGTGCAACAGTGTTCCTACAAAATTAAAACAACTGCACCACAAATCACATGAGTATTTTATTTTGTGCAACAGTCTTATTGCCAAGAACATTGTTTTTTCAGGTGTGGTGGCACAGGCCTACAGTCTCAGCAGTGGAGAGGTTGATACAGGAAGATTTTGAGTTCAAGACTAGCCTGGGCTACAAAGAAAGACTATGTCTCAAAACAAAACAAAACAAAAAAACCAAAACCAAACAAACACCCAACAGCAAACAAAACAAACCCCCCAGATTTTAAAAACCATAAAGAAAATTTAAACTCACCAAAGTGCATGTATTTAAAGGAGTCCCAAGATGGCTACCCTTTGGAGTAAATTTTGCAAAAGAATTGTCTTTAGGAACTTTAAAATGTTCGGTCATTGGCATGATGGCTCGGTGGGGAAAGGTGCCTGCTGCCAAGCCTGATGACCTGAGTTTGATCCCTGGGACTCACATGGTGGGAGAGAATCAACTCCTTACAAGTTCTTCTCTTACTTCCACATGAGCCATGGCACCCGGGACGCTCACACAAATAAATGTTAAAAAAAAATAAAAATAAAGGTTTTTCTCCCTCTTACCTGCCAAGTCAGTTTCATTGACATACGGTAGAACCTTCCAGGATATAGAACCTAACTACTACAAAATTGAGGTCTAAGTTAGGAATGGTTACAGAATTGAGCACTATAGATAATCAGTATTTGCTGAATGAATCAATGGGGCTCATCGTAATTAACTTTTACCTTTACTCAACTAAGGTTGAGGTAACCAAACCCTAGGGTGTGGCATTTTATACCTGGGCAGAGTTTATCACGAATATCGCACAGCTTGTGGTCAATTTGAACAGTTTATCACCTTAACACTAGTCAAGTTTCACAAATTCTCTAAATTTCAGCCAGATTTCTTCAAAATACTGTTTTCAAAGCTTGGGGAAGAAGGCTACTTTCAGTTGTTTCTTGGACCACTGCCATCAGTGGCCTGATGCAAGGTGCGTCAGAAACTGGGAAATTGAAGACCTCGCTCGGATTGGGTTTCCTTCACCTTGGCTCACAAAGCCAGCAAAATATCTACGACATGGGCATTCCCGGACACCAGGGTCGGAGGGAGCTGCCAGTTTCCCCACACCACTTCTCGGTGCCCGGGGGGGGGGGGGATGAGGGACAGAGGATTTTCGGGGTGGACTGTAACCCGCTAGCCTGGTTGCGCACATCGCGGCTGGCTGGGGAAGTGGTCCAGGGCCGGGATGCCGGCCGGCACCAGCATCCGGCAAAACCCGCGAGCTCCCGGCAGGCCTGCGCCTGCCCTTGTGCAGGTCAAGGTGACAGTCCGGATAAGGGTGGCGGGGGACCGGCCGCGGGCGGCTCACCTCGCACAGAGGAGTCGCTGCTGATGCCCATGGTGCGGGCAGCGGGAAAGGCCGTGGCAGGATCGCGCGGGCGAGCGCTGGGGGACGGCGGAGACCCGGGCAAGACGCAACCTCCGGGCCCACTCACAGCCACTGCGCAGGCGCCGCGGCAAGCTGGGCAGCGCGTGTGAGGGCGCGCCGGTAGAGTCGCGCATGCGCGGCGGCCCCAACCCGGAGGACCGGTGAGGATTTGACAACCGCGGGACAGCCTTGGGTGCCAAGGTGGTGACTGCGTCTGCGCTGGCCGGGCGAGCCTATCCAGGCCGGGTTTTACAGGTGGCCCAGTTGTGAGCGTTTCAGGTGACTTAGGACAAGTACCCGCAGGACTGTCGCCCTATAGCCGCTTTGGCTATCGGTAACGCAAGGGGTGGCCAGCTCAAGGCTGGGTCCTGCAAATCGGGCCAGCTCCGCTGTGGGTCCCGCCAGGCCAGACTTTGCCATAGGGTGCCAGTGCAGACACACAGGCGTTGATGGAACTGCATCTGGAACCTCTGCTAGCCACATTGGGCCTCCGGACCTTCGGTCTTTGACCTTGCCACTCATCTACCCAGAGAGTCCGAGGAAGACAAAAACAAAAACAACTTGCTCCGGCTGGCGAGGCAGGTCAAGCGGTACTGTGCTTGCTCAACGGTATTGTGCTTGCCCAACACGCACAACGCTCTGCCTTCAATTCCCAGCACTGCCATGAATAAATAAACATAAGTAGAGTGTTCGTCTCTTTAAAAAACAAGTGTTCACTTAGGAAAACTATTGAGAAGGCCGCAGAGTCTTAGAGATTAAGAGCACATACAGCTTTTTCACAAGGACCCAAGTTTGATTCCCAGCACCCACGTAGGTGGGCTCACAACGCCTGCTATTCCAGCTCCAAGGAACCCTACTCCTCTGGCCTCCCTGAGCACCGGCATACACATACAGTTAATCTTTAAAAAGAAAAGTGAATTAGGATGACTGTCAATCTCTAACACATAAACTTGTCACGATACTTTGAGGCAACAATCAGGCTGGGTGCCAACTGGAAGGTGTGAGAAGAAACATCTTCACTCAGGATGCTCCTGTCCCTTTGATCTGGGAGGGCAGGACGTGGTGGGAGGTCTGCCTATCACCAGCCACCTCTCTAGGTTGCCCTGCTGCCGTCTCCCAGGAGCGGGGCACCTCACATCGGGACGTGCCGGGGATGCTTGCTTGTCCCGGGAAGCTCTGGGGTGCTGGTGATGAAGCAAACAGTGGATACGTGGGACAACAGTCCCATCCTGCGGGTCTCTGAGCATGCTCAGTGCTGTTGGGCAGCAGGCTCAGACTCGGAACCTGCTCAGTTCGGTGCTGGTCAATCTTCTGGACGTGCTCCTGGAAGGGTGAACGGGTCTAGCGGGTGGCTTCTGCGCATGTTCCGTGAGGTGCTGGCGGGGATCCAGTAGGGTAGCCTCTGGGCATGCTCAACACGGCCGGGCGGGATCGAGGCGAGTAGCATTTGCGCATGCTCAGACTGGTCCTGTCCCGGCCGGAGCAAGCAGGGGGCGGGCAGAGGCGGAGCCCAGGCGCCCTTATCCCGGGCGCGGGCGGCCGGAGTTCAGAGTGCGGGCCGCGGAGCGGGCAGCGCGGTCTCGGTATGGGTCCGCGCGCTGGGCCTGCGCAGGCGATGCCGCCCGGTCCTTCCTGACGCCTGACGCCGAGTGTCGCCGCCCCGATGGCCGCCGAGCCCCCTGCGCTGCGCCTGCGGCCGCCGGGGAGCACCGGGGACAGCCCGCCAGTGCCGCGCCTGCTCGGAGGCTGCGTGCCGCTGTCGCATCAGGTGGCTGGCCACATGTACGGCAAGGACAAAGTGGGTGAGTGCAGCCTCGGGTCCCCTTCCTCAATCTCCGCTGTAGCCTGTCCGGGCAGTCCCCGGCCTCCGCTGTGCCCTGCTCCGGCAGTCCTCGGCCTCCGCTGTCCTCAGTCTCGGTGGTCCTCAGTACTTCGCCGTCGCCTCCCCTACAGTCACCGGCCTCCACTGTCCCCACCCTGCAGTCCCAGGCCTCCAGATCGTGGTCTCAGCTGTCCCCACCCTGGCAGTCCCCGGCCTCCCATCCTGATCACAGCTGTCCAAGGCTCTTCTGTTCCCTACCCGGCAGTCTCCGGCCTCTGCTGTTCCCGATCCTGGTTGTCCCTAGCCTCGAGTTGCCAGCTCCCGCCGCCCCAAGCCTTCCCTGTCCCCGGGGCTAGGAAGCCGGGCGCCCCCAGGCGCGGCCACAGGCTCCTAGTGGTGCGGAGAGGCGTGCCCCTTCGCCCCAGGGAAGGCGAGTGTTGATTGGAGAAGGCGTTGTTAGTAAAAATAAGGAACTTGGTTTTCTTCTCTGGACCGGGAAGTAAATTCTCCCTGGAGCTCAAGATCTGTTTATAATCGGGAGTAGTAATTGCAAAAGGGACCCAAATGCATACGATGCTAATCCGATGCTTCTCTGCTTGGTGCAGCTGCATCGCTGGAGGGGAAGAAAAAAAAAAAAAAACTGCTATATGTTTTTAAACTTGCCTTGGCTCATCCAAGATCACTCCCTGTCCCTTGAGGAGGGTTCTCGGTGTCTTTGATTGCGCTGGGAGGCGTGGTTCAGCAGTGCAGAACCTTGCCTCCTGGGTAGGCTACACGCCCGGTTGTTGCATAGATCAGTACACAAATAAAATATGCATTCTCCAGCACTCGGGAGGCAGAGCCAGGCGGATCTCTGTGAGTTCGAGGCCAGCCTGGGCTACCAAGTGAGTTCCAGGAAAGGCGCAAAGCTACACAGAGAAACCCTGTCTCGAAAAACCAAAAAAAAAAAAAAAAAAAAAAAAAAAAAAAAAAAAATATGCATTCTTTCCTTGTTCATTTTTATAGACCGTTCCTTGGCGTTTGTCACGTAGTTTGTGAGTTCACGATTTATAAAACAGCGCAGGGTCTACTCCAGGGCAGAGACTAATTCATCCCGCTACTCACAGCGGATCTAGGAAGAGTAAGATGGACTTGGAACTCTTGTGGATAGCTGACCCGGAACAACCGTTTTCGTATTTTGTATTTTGCTGATAAAGTGGTTCAGGTTTAGGCTGGTAAGGTAATACATTTTCTTTTTCTTTCTTCATTGGTATAGAGGATTCATTTTTAAGACCTCAGACAGGCTAGGTAAGAGCATTACCACTGACCTACATCCCCAGCTCTCCTTTATCTGTTTTTCTTTTAAGACAGGCCAGGGGTTCCCAAAGTGCCACTTGGAACTTTCTGTAGCCCAGACAGGCCTTGAACTTTCCATCTTCCTGAGTGGCTGGGGGTATAGGCATGAGCCAACAGGTCCTGTTAAGGTAATACATTTTAAGACAATCTTGGTTAAGTGACACACCTGACTGAAGTCACATTGCTATTGTGTCCTAGAATCAGAAACCAGCACCCACCATATATTTTGGCCGTGAAAAACACACACAGACTGGAGCTCAGCTACGTTCAGGAAATGTTGAAAGACTACGTCAGAGTTAGGGAACTTGAGGTTCTTGGCTAAGATATTTCCTCCTATGCATCGTGTCTGGAGTCAGCTTGCCCCGAAAGATAGGATTCCTATAATCTAAAGGTGTTAAGAAAGTGATTGTTTCCCCGGGGGTCCTGGAGAGCTGCTTCTTTGCAGAGGAGAACAGACCCAAATAAAAATCACCTGTGATTGGCACTTCAGACTAGCTTATGATACCAGCGACCTCCTTAGACTCATTGGTGATGGATTCCAAACACTGGCCGGGTGGCAGTGGCGCATGCCTTTAATCCCAGCACTCGGGAGGCAGAGCCAGGTGGATCTCTGTGAGTTCGAGGCCAAGCCTGGTCTACAGAGTGAGATCCACAGAGAAACCCTGTCTTGAAAAACAAAAACAAAACAACCAAGTGCCTTGAATGTGACTGTATTACAAACAGTGCAGAGAGAGCTAGTTTCTCAGCCAAACTGCCTAATCGAAAGAATAATTTTAGATTGCAAAGAAGGTAGTCCCCAATTTTAGTATTCAGTTTTGTTTTTTCCCCCCCAGTTTCACTAGATTCTTTTGACTCCCAGAGATCAAATTCTTCATGTTATGCCTGCAGTCTGCTGTTTGTTGCTCTGAGTTCTCAGATATTTACCCTGTAGACCGAGCTGGCCATCATCTTCCCTGATCATAAATAGAGATAGCAAGGGAGTCAGCAGTTCGAAGTTCAGCTGTTTAGTATTCCTCCACTGTCACAGGGAGGTCACATTGTTGAGACCAGTGGTTCTCAACCTTCCTAATGCTGAGACCCTTTCATACGTGGTGACACCCCCAACCATAAAATAACTTCTGTTGCTACTTCGTAACTGCAGTTTTGCTACCATTGTGAATCGTAATGTAAACATCCGTCTTAGCTGACCCCTGTTTGAGAGGTCTTTCGACTCACAGGTTGAGAACTTCTGGCTTAGACCCTACTCTGCACTTCCTTAGCTCTTGATAAGCTTTTGAAGACACTGTGGCTGTTTGTATTTGTGATATATATATATATATATATATATATATATATATATATATATATATATGTTTTTCAAAACAGGGTTTCTCTGTGTAGTTTTGGTGCCTGTCCTGGATCTCGCTCTGTAGCCCAGGCTGGCCTCGAACTCACAGAGATCCGCCTGGCTCTGCCTCCCGAGAGCTGACATTAAAGGCGTGCACCACCGACACCCGACTTGTATTTGTTATCATTTTTAACTGCTGTCACTCTCCCTATGGAACTGGAGTTTTCATTTTAGGATTGATCTTATCTCCAAAAATAAAAGAACTGTTGATTTAATTAATTTTTAAAACAATGAAAAACATGGGACTTAGAAGAACCCAAGTCAACGAACAACACCCGTAGCCAAGGGAAAGCTGTTAGTATTTCTGACACCGATTTGGTTTTATGTTCCTCATTGAGATCATACTCCATCAAAAAGGACATTGAAAACTTAGTTCTCTGGATACAAAATGTTTACCTTCTGAAAGTTATTTAAAAAAAAAACCAGCTCATGCCGGGCGGTGGTGGCGCACGCCTTTAATCCCAGCACTCGGGAGGCAGAGCCAGGCGGATCTCTGTGAGTTCGAGGCCAGCCTGGGCTACCAAGTGAGTTCCAGGAAAGGCACAAAGCTACACAGAGAAACCCTGTCTCGAAAAACCAAAAAAAAAAAAAAAAAAAAAAAAAAAAAAACCAGCTCGTGATCTTTTAGGAAAAAGAGTGGTGCCCTTGCTCCGAGTGTCCTAGGGTTAATCACTGGCGGCAGCATTCTGCCTGTCCTTGGGCTATTGTTTTGGGGTACTTACTACGCACGTTAACAGCATTCTGAACCTTCATACCGACGATGCGGTGGCATCTGCTCTTTTTTTTTTGATCTGTGCTGTACCTTGTGGTTCATTTGATGTAGAGGTGTTCCTTGACCTGCGATGGGGGGTACTAACCCTCACCAAACACACTGCTCTCTGGTGGCCTGGTGGCCTGGTGGCCACCTGGGAGCTGCCCTTTGCCCCACTTCAGAGTGTCTCCTCTTGCATACCTGTTCCTCTCTCGCTAGATGACGTCCGTGTTTTCTGTAACAGAAGGTGTGTTAGACATTCCTGGACACAATAGCTCGCCTTGCACATTGTGCCGCCAAAACGCAACAGCCACATCAGTGTCGATCCCCAGAGTTCTCAAATGTTTGTTTACGACCCCTTTTCTGTCTTAGTAGTTTAATCACATACCACTAGTTTCACTTAAAAGCCCTCGAAATTTTTAAGAAGTGGCTCAAAGCTGGAATTGGTGCCTCGGCCAAGTTTGGTATGCAGAAGTAAGGTAGTTGGTGGGAGAAATGAGTGTTTAAGCTGACGCTCATGGTAGGAACCCTCACACCTAGTTGGTGTTAGTGGTCCGCTTGTTCTGAAGTTAGTACAAAGCACTGTGAAGCTTTCAGGGGAGACGAGGAACAGCGGGGAGAGGGAAAGAGGCATGTTGCCCAGTCTGTCTTCTCAGCTCCTCACACGTGACTTTTTTTCTGAACTTTTCTGTAAGTAGGTTGCATATGTCCTGCCATTTATATAGTGACACTTCTGCGTGAATTTCCTAAGAACATCCATATTCTCCTCTGTAGCCAGGGTGTATTTATGGCATGTGGGGATTTAACTGATGCAGCTCCGTAGTTATAATCCTCACCCTCACTTAGTCGAGTTTGGATAATGTGTTTTATCCCCGACTCGTGGTCCTCAGGACAGCAGCCCTCCATCCTTACCACAGGCATTCAGTTACGACTTGCTGTGTTTGCAACACAGCCCCACCCTCTCTCTTGAGTGGTGTTGACACTGAAGAATTCACGTTACACATTTTAGGAAATGCTGTCCACTCTCGAGTTTAAGAAGGTTCCATAGGATGAGACTCAGGGTGTAAGTTTCTGACTGGAACATGATGCTCATCGGGAGACCCACGGTAGCTGTCTGACCTTTATTAGTGGTTAATTTTGGTCATTTCCTTCAAGTATGGGCCAGCTTCCCACCCTGTCGTTAGTGCTTTTACCCCTGGAATGAGTAAGCTGTCTGTGGTAGACCCGTGAAGGCCGCCATGTGGGTATCTGGACCATCGTCAGACCTCACCCCTAGATTTTGATGTATAGTGATGATTCTTGTCTGAAGCAGATGGTTGTGAAATTATGATTTCCTCCTCAATTCCACCACTGCTGTTAACACTCAGCATTCTAAGAAATCACCTCTCTTTACTCCTGTGCTTGTGCATCATTATTTATGACCCGTCGGGACACCTGTCAGACCCAACCACAGAACTAGTTTTTCCCTTGTCATAGGGACTTCCTCTCTGTTCCAAGTTACTGTTGA